AAATTTGATTTGTTGTTCCACTTATTTATGAATTCACTGGTAGAATCTTTTATATGCCCTGATTAGTGATTGAATCCACAACCTGGTTTTTCTGGACAATGCTTTAACCAACTGAGCAGCTTGTTAGGAAGATTAATTTTTTTCTCCTACTTCAATGTGTTTAGGTTTCTTTCATGTCTTTTCATGTCGTATTATTTCTTTTTTAAAAATATATTTTATTTACTTATTTTTAGAGAGAGGGGAAGGGAGGGAGAAAGAGGGAGAGAAATATCAATGTGTGGTTGTTTCTCACGTGGCCTCCACTGGGGACCTGGCCCACAATCCAGGCATGTGCCTGGACCAGGAATTGAACCAGTTACCCTCTGGTTCATGCTCAATGCCCATGCTCAATCCACTGAGCTATACCAGCCAGGGTATTATTTCTTTATAGTGCTGAATATTTCATTGTATGTATTTCAGTTTACTTATCTATTCACTTGTTGACATATTTTCATTGCTTCCAATTTTGGATATTATAAATGAAGCTTCTATTAATATTCTCTGGTAGGTTTTTTTGTAGATAAAAGTTTTTATATATTTAATTAAGTAATAAGGAGCACAATTGCTGCATTATGTAGTAAATGTATGTTTAGGGGCTTTTTTGTGTTTTTTTTTTAAAGATTTTATTTATAGAGAGAGAGGAAGGGAGGGAGAAAGAGGAGAGAAACATCAGTGTGTGGTTGTCTTTCACACATCTACTGGGGACCTGGCTGGTAACCCAGGCATGTGCACTGACTGGGAATCAAACTGGCAACCCTTTGATTCACAGGCCAGTGCTCAATTCATTGAGCCACACCAGCCAGGGTAGGGTTTTTGTTTTTTTTTAATTTAAATTTTAATTTTTTATTTATCTCAGAGAAGGTGGAAGGGATGGAGACACAGAGGGAGAGAAACATTAATGTATGATAGATGCAGTGATGGGTTGCCTCTCTTATGTCCCCAACCAGGGACCTGGTCTGTAACCCAGGCATGTGCCCTAATTGGAAATTAAACTGGCAACCCTTTGGTTCACAGGCCACAGGGCTCAATCCACTGAGCCACACCAGCCAGGGCTGTTGGGGTTGTTTTAAAAATATTTTGTTGTATATGCTATTATAGTTGTCCCAGTATTTTCCCCTTTGTTCCTTCCACCCAGCTAACCCTCTTATTTTTAGTCTTTTGACAATTCTGAGACTCTTTGCAAGGAGATATCCATTTTCACCAGTAATTAATGAGAGTTCCAGTTGCTCCACATCCACAGCAGCATTTGCTGTGGTCAGTGTTCTGGATTCTTCCCATTAGGGGTTAAGTGTGCTGTTTGTATAACTTTCATTGTTTTAATGTGTATTTCCTCTGTGATACAAGGTGTGGATGTTTTTGTAGATATTAATTTTTAATCCACGTATAAATTTTAGTGTGATTTCTGTTAAGGTGTTTGTTCCTTTTTATTCAGGTTTGCTTTTTTGTCACTGTTGAGTTTGAAAACATCTTTGTCTTGCATAATAGTCCTGTACATATTGTCTTTTACAAATATGTTTTCTCAACTTGTGGCTTCTCTGTTTTTTCTCATGATGAAGATCATTTTTTTGTTCATTTGTATTTTTCCTTAATGATGAGACATGGGTATTTAAATCACAACACTTTGGATTGAAAAACAAAGCTGGTAAAGAATTTTCCTTGAGAAAGTGTGAAGTGAATAAAATTAAGTTTGTTTTTATATTCAATATAATATCCAATATTTAATATAATATCCAATGTTATAATATCCAATAACATGGATATTATATTTGTAGTTTATTTAATTGTTTAAATAAACATAATGAGCCATGGCTTTAGGAGACCCATTGAGATATATTTTTTTGTCGTTATATGTTAACTAAAATAAAATCTCTTCATTTATTCCAGAGCTTCGGTACCATTATGACAATGGCCATTTTTTTCTTCTGTTCTATATTTTCCATCATGTAAATAATGCTCCAGTGGGTATAGTTGTTTGTGTTCCATTTTGAATTTGTGTTGTCACATTCTTTGGATAAATCCACAGAAATGGAATTGCTGTGTTATGTGGTACTTGTCTGTAAATTTTGAGGAATTTCCACTTTGTTTTTGATAGTGGCTGTACCTATTTATTTATAATCTCACTGACAGAGCATGAAGGTTCTCATTCTCCACATCATTGCCCATTCATGTTGTTTGTTACTTCTTTAAGAGATTTATTTATTTACATTTAGAGAGAGAGGAAGGGAGGGAGAAAGAAAGAGAAACAGTGATGTGTGAGAGAAACATCCGTCCATTGCCCCTCACATGCCCACAGCTGGGGATGTGGCTGGCAGCCCAGGCATGTGCCCTGACTGGGAATCTATCCTGTGACCTTTTGGTTTGCAGGCAGGCTCTCAATCCACTGTACCACACCAGGCAGGCCTGCTAATTTATTGATAATTGCCATCCTGGTACATGATGTGCTGGTATTTCTCTGTGGTCTCAATTTGCATTTCTCTGATGATGAATGACATTGAACATCTTTTCATATGTCTACTGGCCATCTTTGTGCCTTATTTAGAGAAATATTTACTCAGGTCCTCTCCCTGTTCTTCGGTCAGATTGTGTGTGTGTGTGTGTGTGTGTGTGTGTGTGTTAAATTGTGTAAGTTCCTCCTTTATTTTGGATATTTAGCACCATTGGTGGATATCATTCCCTCTTTAATAGATTGGGATATTTCTTTGTTTTCTTGATAATTTACTTTGCTATGCAAAAATTTATTTTGTTGTAATCTCATTGGTTTAATATTTTATTTGCTATGCTTACCAAGATACATTAAAAAAAATTTCTAAGAGTGATGGCAGAATTTATTAAATTTCTTTTCTTACTGTATTTTCATGACCTTGGGTCTTATATTTTAGTTTTTAATCCCTTTTGAGTTTATTTTGGTACAGGGCATAAGAAAATGGTTGAGCCCTGTCTGGTGTAGCTCAGTGCATTGAAGAGTGGTTTTGTGAACCAAAGGGTTGCCAGTTCAATTCCCAGTCAGAGCACATACCTTGGTTGCAGGCCAGGTTTCCCCACCCCCAGTAGGGGGCAAGCGAGAGGCAACCACACATTGATGTTTATCTCCCTCTCTTTCACCCTCCCTTCCCCTCTCTCTAGAATTAAATAAATAAAATAAAGTAAGAAAGATGTTTTTTTTTTTTTTAAAAGAAAGTGGTTGAATTATATTATTTTGTGGGTATTCAGTTTTTCTCGCACCACTTATTAAAGAATCTGTCTCACCCTGTTCTGTATTCCTGCTTTTTTTTATATTAATTAGCTATATATCTTTGGCAATTTTAAAAATTGTGTTACTTCTTTTATCATGTTTTGTAAAACTTCTTTATGTCTTCTGAATATTAAACACTTACAAGATGCATGCTTTGCACAAATTTTCTTCAATTCCACTGGTTGTGTTTTTAACCCTTTGTGTATTTACCTTAATGTGCAGGTGTTTTCATATTTGGTGTAATCCCATTTGTCTATATTTAGTTTGTTTTCTTTTGGTAATATAATGAAAAAACAACTGTCATAAAATCTTTCCGTACATTTTTTGTATGCTTGACATTAGTCTTTAATCCTGCTCTGTCTTTGGTATTTGATCAGTTATCAATTACTCTTCTTTTTAGTATGCATTACAATGCATGCACCTCTTATTGACATGGTTTTAGCACTCTGTCATATAAAACAGAAAAACGTATTTCAAAGACACTGACAAATAACTAGATAATTGAACACAATTGTATCTTCCATCTCTTCAGAGTAGAAACTGGGAACTGAGAGTTTCCTTATAATATTGCCATCGTGTGCCAGGGGGTGTGGCAGTATGGTTGCCAAATGTAAGCACTCTCTGTTTCTTTTCTTTGTACCTTTCTTGGTCTTGCTTTGAACATTTAACATTTTTGAAGTACTAAAAATTGTATTATATTCAGTAATTGCTTAACTTCAATGTACATTATCTTGAGTGTCATAACTGTGAACCTTTATTTTGCACCTTTCAGCTATGTCATCTGAAGATAACCAGTCCTTGTTGCAAAATCCAGGAATAGAAGATTTATTCTCTGAAACGATAATGGTAAGATATGAAAGATGTGCCTTTGATAATATAATGAAAGGCTGATAAAAAAGTATTTGACAAGAAAAAAGAATGTTAAAGTGCATGGAACTTGTGCAGGATAATTATTCATAATAAAATCCTTGTTACCCAAAGAGGTTAAAAATAGATCATGTCTGGGAAAACTCCCACTTTAAGTCACTTACATTTGCAGAACATGCGTTTCCAAATGTGAAGCCTAAAAACAATTTTCTAAGTGTATATATTCTTCTAAAGGCAGTCTGCAAAATCAAGGAACTCTGATAATTTGTAATGTGAATAATTATTTAATTGCCTGAAATGGAGAGTAGGATTAAAATTTTAGTCAGTAGTTTGTGAAAGTTAGTAAATTCTAATACATATGTAAAATTTAAATGTGACCAGCTTGACAGTCCCTTTATTAAGAATTATTATACTTCATTGAGAAGGAAAGTTTTCTTTTATTCCAATATATAAAATTTTCATGTACTTGGGAGCGATTTTTAATTCAACCACCATGGTTTAATAGGTATCAGAGAATAGTGATTTGGGAATAAGTGTACATGTTTAATGAAATTATAGGTGTCACTAACGGTCTTTCTATCTTCAATGATTATCAGAGTACATTTAATGAAGACAGAAGTTATCACTGCAATGAAAGTTGGAGAATTTTTAACTGGAAGTCAAATTCTAATAAACATCAGACTACTCATCTTCCAGAAAACCATTGTAAAGGCGGAGAAACCTTTGACCAAATATCAAATGACAGTATATATCAGTTTATTCCTAATGTGGGAAAGATGAAGAAGCAAAGTAAATGTGTCAGATTACTTAAAGAATCTTCAAATAGTACTGAACAAAAGAATATTCCTATTGCAGGGGAAGTATACAAATGTTTACCATGTGGGAAATTCTTAAGTCAAATATTTAATTTAAATGGAGTTAAGAAAATCTGTACTGCAGAAAAACATAAATATAAAGAATGTGGTAAAACATATAATTGGCCTTCAGGTCTTACTCTGCATCAGAGAATACATACTAAACAGCAGCCTTATATATGTAGAGAATGTGGCAAAGCCTTTAGGTGGTTCTCAATCCTTACTATTCACCAGAGAATTCATACTGGAGAGAAGCCTTATAAATGTAGAGAATGTGGTAAAGACTTTCGCCAGTCCTCAACCCTTACTCAACATCAGAAAATTCATACTGAAGAGAAGCCTTATAAATGTAGAGAATGTGGCAAAGCCTTTCGCCGGTCCGAAACCCTTACAAACCACCAGAAAATTCATACTGGAGAGAAGCCTTACAAATGTACAGAATGTGGTAAAGCCTTTAGCCGCTCCTCAACTCTTACTCAACATCAGAAAATTCATACTGGAGAGAAGGCATATAAATGTAGAGAATGTGGTAAAGCATTTCGCCAGTCCTCAAATCTTATTCAACATCAGAATATTCATATTGGAGAGAAGCCCTATAAATGTAGAGAATGTGGTAAAGCCTTTCGCCAGTCCTCAACCCTTACTCACCATCAGAAAATACATACTGGAGAGAAGCGTTATAAATGTAGAGAATGTGGCAAAGCCTTTAGTTTGTCGTCAACCCTTACTAGACATCAGAAAATTCATACTGGAGAGAAGCCTTATAAATGTACAGAATGTGGTAAAGCCTTTTGCCGGTCCTCAACGCTTACAAACCATCATAAAATTCATACTGGAGAGAAGCCTTATGAATGTAGAGAATGTAGTAATGCCTTTCATCAGTCCTCAATGCTTACTCAGCATCAGGAAATTCATACTGGAGAGATGCCTTACAAATGTAGATAATATGGTAAAGCCTTTTGCTAGTGCTCAATGCTTACTCAACATCAGAAAGTTCATACTATAGTGAATTCTCTTGAGTGCAGAGGATGTGGCAAAGCCTTTAGGATTCCTCAAACTTTAGTCATCTTCAGAGAATTCATAATGGTGAAAAGCCTCATATATGTAGAAAATGCGGTAAAACTTTACCAGTCCCCAAACCTTACTCAACATCAGAAAATTCATACTGAAAAGAAGCCTTATAAATGTAGCAAATGTGATAAGCCTTTAGACAATCCCCAGCCCTTACTCAACATTGATCATTCATACTTGAGAGAAGCCTTATGTAGAGAATGTGGCAAACCCTTTAGGGAATCCTCACAACTTATTCAATATTAGAGAATTCATAATGGTGAATAGCCATGTAAATGTAGGAAATATGGCCAAGCCTTTAAGCAGTCTTCAGTTCTTACTGTAATCATACTGGAAATAAATCTTATCAATGTGGACTATGTGACAAAGTCTTTCTTTACTTCTCAAAACATACCACATCAGGTCATTCATACTGGAGAGAAACCATATAAATGTAAGTGCCAAATCTTTTAATCATCAGTAGTGTCTCTAGAGAAAAACTGTTCAACAGTAGAGAATGTAGCAAAGCTTTTACCCTGTGTTCAAAACTTCCTTGACATTGGAGACTTCATGCTGGAGGGAAACAAAAAATATAAAGAATATAACAAAACTTTAACCATTATTCAAGCCTCCTTCAAGGTTAGAGAATTTATATGGGAGAGAAGTCTTAAAAATGTAATGAATTTGGTAGTGTTTAATCCTCATCCATACCTCTATCAATATCTTATAATTTATACTGGATAAAATGTAGCAAATGTAAAAAATGTAGCAAAGCTCTACCCATATCTTACTCCACATCAGAATTCATTCTAAAGAGAAAAAATACTAATGAAGAATGTTCAAAATTGTTTTTTCAAGGTTTACAGATTATTTGATATGTAAGAATTTATACCAGAGGAAAAAAACCTTAAAAAAGAAGAATGTAAGAAATTGTACAGGTGGACCTACAGGGAATGTACAATGGGTGTGGAATTCTACGTTCATAATAATGACTGGCTTTTGTCCAATACATACAGTTCACAAATCCCAAAGAATTTATGCCTGAAATTGGTGTTAAAGATGTAAAAATTTAGGAATGTATGTAATAGAAACAATTTTAAAACATGAGTGAATTCACAGAATGCTAAAAATAGTTTTCAGGTATTGCTATAAATCAGAATACTATAGAGAATCATTCAGAATTTAAAAACAATTACTTTTTAAAAAAATTTTATTTATTTTCAATAACAATGTATGGGAGGGAGAGAAACATTAATGTTCAAGAGAAACATGGATCAGTTGGCTCTCACATGTCCAATACTGGGGATCTGGCCCACAACCCTGGCATGTACCTTGACCTGGAATTAAACAGTGACCTTTTGGTTCACAGGCTGGCGCTGAATCCACTGAGCCATACCAGCCAGAGCTAGGTCATTACTTTTTGATGTGCTTAAAAATGTCAAGGGAATGGGTGTCTGGATATGCATAGTTAACTCAGAATATATAATATTCTATATCAACAGTATTGGAAATATTTTGAAAAGGAATTGTTAATGTGATTCCAGTCTCCTATCAGTTGATGCTACTATATTTTTATTCCTGGTGTATATGTGAAGTCATGGGGTTAATTTTTGGTTCCTTAAAAATCTGTGAACTCTTGAATTCAGCTACAGAGACCTCATAGCCATTATCCACTGAAGTGCTAGGGTTATAGCATCTTAATTGCTCTCCAAGCAAGAAGCCCTTGTTGGTTCTGATCAGTAGTTTGGAAATTTTCTAGTGGAATGACACATCAGAATTTGGTAAATATTTTTATTATATGTATATATTTTAGAAAAAATGAAGGTTACAACTCATGGAGACCCTGTATTTTTAAGTGTGAATATGACTTTTTGGAAAATAACATAATGGCATTTGTGTGTTTAGAAATTAAAATGATCTGCCATGACTGGCGTGGCTCAGTGGCTTGGGTGTTGTCCCAGGAAAAGAAAGGTCGCCCATTCAATTCCTTGTTAGAACACATGCCTGATTTGAGGGCAAGGCATGTGAGAAGCAACTGGTCCACATTTCTCTGACAAGTCAGTGTTTCTCTATCTCTCTTTCTTGCTCCTTTCTTCTTTCTAGAAATAAATGAAATCTATTTAAAAAAAATTTGTGCCGTGGCTTGTATGACTCAGTGGATTGAGTGCCAGCCTGCAAACTCTTAAGGTTGCCAGTTCGATTCCCAGTCAGGGCACATGCCTGGATTTTGGGCCAGGTCTGTGGTTGGGGCATGTGAGAGGCAACCAATCGATGTTTCTCTCACACATCAGTGTTTCTCTCCCTCTCTTTCTTCCTTTCATTCCCCTCTCTCTAAAAGTAAATAAAATCTTTTTTTTAAAGATTTTATTTATTTATTTTTAGAGAGGGGAGGGAGGGGGGAGAGAGAGAGAGAGAGAAACATCAATGTGCGGTTGCTGGGGGTTATGGCCTGCAACCCAGGCATGTACCCTGGCTGGGAATCGAACCTGCGATGCTTTGGTTCACAGCCCGCGCTCTATCCACTGAGCTACGCCAGCCAGGGAGTAAATAAAATCTTTAAAAAGAAATTGGAATGATCTTTCTGGTCCCAGTTTTCATTCGAGTCCTTGAGAATTTCTCAGTGTTACATCACTACCTTTTCCTTTACTGAAGTAAAAATAGGACAAATTTAACAGGCTTTATTTTTTAATCATAAATGTAGCCAACTCTTGCTCATTCTTTCTAGAGAAATTCCAGAGACCATTGCAGACTTTAAGTTGAAACATTTTCTTTATGATTTTGGATGCAAAATTATTTTCTATGTTTTTTACATAGCTAGGGGTGTATCCATTGGCCCACACATACCTTGAGTGTATTTTAAGCCATCAGCACCATTTCAAGGAATTTCAGGTGGAGATAGTTTAAAATGGAAGCCCAAAAGTCCAATTGGCTTTTTCATTGTCCTTTGCTGGATCTGTACAAGCTGCTAAATATTAGTCCCTATGCATGCACCTGCCTGAAAAATCACAAACATAGAAACTATATATTGGATACTATTCTACTTCCTGACATAGGTATAGACACAATATATGTAGCATTATATATATATATATATATATATATATATATATATATATATATATATATATATGCATCTATTGATGTTTTATGTCTAGGACTCATTACCTGGACCAGTGGCTTTATAATTTTAGTTTGTTATAGGACAATGTCCAGGGCTCAGAACATATATAGGAGTAAAATGTCAGGTAGATTAGAGTTGTTCCATATTAAAAGAAAACTCTTACTGTCCCTCAGATTAGAGTTGATTCTGCTTTCATTGTGTCCAGAATATATATTCTTCCACTTTGGGGTAAAGTTCTTTAAATGTTCCACATCCATCATCTCTAATGTGTCATTTAAGACCACAGTTTTCTTGTTGGTTTTCTGTGAGTTCTATCTATGGATGTCAATGGAAAGTTAAAGTCCCCTACTGTGACTGTATTGCTGAATATGAAGTTTGCAATAACTGTATACCTATCAGTAATCACTTAAATGTAAATATATTAAATGATCATATCAAAAAGAGAAGTTAGCCCTGACCGGTATGTCTCTTTGTTGGTTGGTCATTGTCTTGCAAAGCAAAAGGTTTGTGGTTTTATTCCTGGCCAGGGCACATGCCTGGGTTGCAAGAAGTGTCACCAGATGGGGTGTGTATGAGAGGCAACCGATTGATGTTTCTCTCACATCTATGTTTCTCTCCTGCTCTCTAAAAATAAATAAATAAAATCTAAAAAACAGGGGGTAATGAATAGATAGCACAGCAAGAGCCATGAATATGCTGCCTACAAGAGACCCACATTAAATGAAAAGACACAAAGTGAAAGTAAAAAGGTAAAAAATGTTAATTCACCTCTACCTTTGGGCCCCAGAAGAACTTGCTCTGCAGAGAATTCTGTTCTACTGAGACATCTAATAGTGGATTGTGTACATATAATAGGTATGAGAATAACCACGCTAATAATGAGCTTAGTTTTAATGGAGTCAATGTATAAACAATTTTTAGATACCCAGAAACTTGTTTTGGCAGGTCAGAGCAGGCTTGATGGGTTAACTGAGGTAAAGATGCTTTTTTTTTTTAAAAAAGTGACTCACTTATTTGATAATTGTTTACTTTCTCTTTTTAAAATTTGCAACTCCAATAGAGTCAAGTCTATGCCATTGTGAAAAAGTATTTCATTTTAATGGAAATTTTAGAATGCTGTGGTAGCTATACTTTTGTCAAACAAAAAAAAAAGAATTTAAAAGAGAGGCTATAAAAAGAAAGGATATTTTATAATCACAAAGGGATGAATTTACCAAGAGGATATGACCCTTGTAAACATTAATGCACCCAATGTAGGGAGGGGCACCTGAATATAGAAAGCAAACACTCAAAAACATAAGAGGGATTGACCTTTTAAATTTGGATTTCTTGTTTTTGGTTATTGAGTTGTGTGTGTGTTTTTTAAGATTTTATTTATTTATTTTTAGAGAGAGGGGAAGGGAGGGAGAAAGAGGGATAGAAACAATGTGTTGTTACTCTTACGTGGCCCCCACTGGGGACCTGGCCCACATCCCAGGCATGTGCCCTGATTGGGAATTGAATCAGCAACCCTTTGGTTCGTAGGCTGGTGCTCAATCCATTGGGCTACACCAGCCAGGGTGGTTATTGAGTTGTAAGAATTAGTCAGATATGGATAGTAGACCCTTACAAGGTCTGTGACTTAACAATTATTTTCTCCTTTTTGATAGACTACATTTTTACTTACATGGTAGTATCCTTCATTACACAGAGAATTAATTTTGATGAAGATTGATTTATCTTATTTCATCTTTCCTTTTTTTGTATTGGTATTATATATAAAAAGATACTGGTAAATCCACAGTCATGAACATTTATCCCTATAATTCTATCTAAGAATCCTATATACCTGCTTCTTACATTGAGGTCCGTATATTGATAGCTTTTGTGTCTTGGCTAAATTATAACTATTTTAATTTAAAATACCTACTGAACCCTGGTTGTTCTGACTCATTGGATTGAGTGCCAGCCTGAGAACTAAATGGTTGCCAGTTTGATTCGTAGTCAAGACATATGCCTGGGTTGCTGGCCAGGTCCCCAGTGGGTGGCGCATGGGAGGCAAATACACATTGATATTTCCCCTCTCTTTAAAAATAAGTAAATAAAATCTTAAAAAAATAAAATACCTACTGAATCTGCCTTGGTTGGTGTGGTTCAGTGGGTTGAGTGCCTGCCTGCGAACTGAAAGATCACCTGTTTGACTCCTGGTCAAGGAACATGCCTGGGTTGTGGGCCAGGGGTCCCCAGTTGGCATGCAAGGGGCCCACATGGGGATTGATGTATCAATGGCACATGGTTGTTTCTCTCCCTCTCTCGCTCCCTTCTTCTCTCTAGAAATGAAGGAAGTCTTTTAAAAATAAATAAAATAAAACGCCTTAGTGAGAATGCTTAAATAACCACCAGGGCTTTTGTGACATTGATCTGCAGAAAATAAAAATGCTTACTGTTAAAAAATCAGGTTCATATATACTGCTTTTTAAGTTTTTTATTCAGTTTATTGGGGTGACATTATTTAATATAATTATATTGTTTCAGGGGTACTGTATTATATCATCAGCATATCGTGTTCTTTTTTTTTAAAGGTTTTATTTATTTATTTTTTAGAGATGGAAGGGAGGGAGAAAGAGAGAGAGAGAAACATCAATGTGCGGTTGCTGGGGGTCATGGCCTGCAACCCAGGCACGTACCCTGACTGGGAATTGGACACTTTGGTTCGCAGCCCGCGCTCAATCCACTGAACTATGCCAGCCAGGGCAAAGATTTTATTTATTTATTTTTAGAGAGAGAAGGGAGGGAAATAGAGAGAGAGAGAAACATCAATGTGTGGTTGCTGGGGGTTATGGCCTGCGACCCAGGGATGTACCCTGGCTGGGAATTGAACCTGCGACACTTTGGTTCACAGCCCGCGCTCAATCCACTGAGCTACACCAGCCAGGGCTTGCATATCGTGTTCTTTATTCACCATCCGAAATCAAGTGTCCATCCATCAGCCTTTATCTTCACTTTACCATCTTTTACCCTCCTACACCCCCCTTTGCCTTTGAAAATCACCATTATGTTTTCTGTGTCTATGAGGGTTGCTTTGGGGGGCTCTTTTGGTTTTTGTTTTCTTTCTTTTTTGCCTAATTTCTTATGTACCTTTTAAACCAAATTGTGTAATAAAAACCTATCTTATTGCCCTGGCTG